CTCAGGCGGTCCCTCGGGCCAGCGGCATCAGCCGCTGCCCAGGCAGTCCCCGGGGCCACCAGAGCAGCAGCCGCTGTGGCTGGCCCCGGGGCTGGGGCCACTCCAGCAGTGGCTGGTGCAGCTCGGGGCTGGGCTGCCCGAGCAGCTAGCTGCAGAGCTGGTCCAGCAGCAGCCGGTGGGGCTGTCTCCAGGGCCAGCTGCTTGGGCAGCCTTGGGGGTCAGCCACACTGGCTGCTGCAGAAGTCACAGAATCCGTGACTTCTGCAACCTCTGTGACAAACATGGAGCCCTAGTGATAAGGAACAGTCCACATGGATTTGTCAAGAACAAATCCTTTCAGACCAGACCAATCTAATATCCTCCTTTGGCAGGGTAACAAACAATGTGGATGGGGGGAAAACCAGTATATGTGATCTATCTCAACTTCAGTAACCATTCTGTTATTGTCTCACGTGACCTTAACATAAGGACACTAGCAAAATATAACCTAGATGTATGCACAACTGGTTGGAAAACCATACTCAAAGTAGAAAGGCAAATCAAGTGGGGCCCTGCAGGGATCTTTCCTAGGTCTTGTTCTATTCAGTATCCTCAAAAATAATTTGGATAATGTCATAGAGAGTACACTTATAAAGTTTGTGAAGGGGTTGCAAGCACTTTGGAGAACAGGATTAGAATTCAAGATGATCTTGAAAAACCTAGAGAAATGATCTGAAATAAACAGGATGAAATTCTTAGGGGGGCACTGCCAGTAGGGAGCAGGGGCACAGCAAAAGTGCTACACTTGGAAAGGAATAAACAATTGTACAAATAAATAATGGAAAATGACTATCTAGGAAGGAATACTGCTGAAAAGGAGCTGTGGGTTATAGTTATTCTTGAGGGAATTGTGCACCAAAAAAATAAAAATTCTGCACACAATAATTTAAAGTTCTACAAATTTTATTTGTCAATAAATAAATGTAGACGCTCCAGCATGGCAGTGGGAAGTATAGGCCACCAGCTGCATGGAGGTAGATCACCCTGCAGTCCCCAACCCTCCCCAGGACATGGACTCTGTGGCAAGGCTGCACCTGACCCAGACATAGCAAAAGGGCCAGGCCTGCCCCTCCATACCAGGTGCACCGGGGGGGGGGGGGGTCTGGGTGCAGGGCTCACCAGGGTGTGATCCAGGTGCAGGGAGTTCCATATAGAATCATAGAATATTAGGGTTGAAGAGACCTCAGGAGGTCATCTAGTCCAACCCCTTCTCAAAAGCAGGGCCAACACCAACTAAATCATCTCAGCCAGGGCTTTGTCAAGCTGGGCCTTAAAAACCTTTAAGGAAGGAGATTCCACCACCTCCCTTGGTAACCCATTCCAGTGCTTCGCCACCAACCTAGTGAAATAGCGTTTCCTAATATCCAACCTAGACCTCCCACACTGCAACTTGAGACCATTGCTTCTTGTTCTGTCATCTGCCACCATTGAGAATAGTCTAGCTCCATCCTCTTTGGAACCCCCCTTCAGGTAGCTGAAGGCTGCTATCAAATCCCTGCTCATGCTTCTCTTCTGTGGGCTAAATAAATCCAGTTCCCTCAGCCTGTCCTCATAAATCATGTGTCCCAGCCCCCTAATCATTTTTGTTGCCCTCCGCTGGACTCTCTCCAATTTGTCCACATCCCTTCTGTAGTGGGGGGACCAAAACTGGATGCAGTACTCTAGGTGTGGCCTCACCAGCGCCAAATGAGGGGAATAATCACTTCCCCTCCATCTGCTGGCCATGCTCCTACTAATACAGCTCAATACGCCGTTGGCCTTCTTGGAAACAATGATACACTGCTGACTCATATCCAGCGTCTCATCTACTGTAATCCCCAGGTTCTTTTCTGGAGGACTGCTGCTTAGCCAGTTGGTCCCCAGCCTGTAGCGGTGCATGGGATTCTTTCCTCCTAAGTGCAAGACTCTGCAATTGTCCTTGTTGAACCTCAGATTTCTTTTGGCCCAATCCTCCACTTTGTCTAGGTCACTCTGGACCCTATCCCTACCCTCCAGGTATCTACTGCTCCCCCATCTTAGTGTCATCTGCAAACTTGCTGAGGGTCCAATTAATCCCATCATCGATAAAGATGTTGGACAAAACCAGCCCCAGGACCAACCCGTGGGGCAGTCCGCTTGATAAGGGCTGCCAACTAGACAGCGAGCCATTGATCACTACCTATTGAGCTGGACAATCTTATAGTCCATTCATCCAATCCATGCTTTAACTTGCTGGCAAGAATACTGTGGGAGACTGTATCAAAAAGCTTTGCTAAAGTAAAGATCACATCCACTGCTTTCCCCATATCCACAGAGCCAGTTATTTCATCATAGATCAAGGCAATTAGGTTGGTCAGGCATGATTTGCCCTTGGTGAATCCATGTTGACAGTTCCTGATCACATTCCTCCTCTCCAAGTGCTTCAAAATGGATTCCTTGAGGACCTGCTCCATGACTTTGCCAGGGACTGAAGTGAGGCTAACCCAGCTGTAGTTCCCCGGTTTCTCCTCCTTCCCTTTAAAAAAAAAAAGGGGGGGCACTATATTTGCCTTTTTCCAATCATCTGGGACCTCCCCAGATCGCCACGAATTTTCCAAGATAATGGCCAATGACTCTGCAATCACATCAGCCAACTCCCTCAGCACCCTTGGATGCATTAGATCTGGACCCATGGACTCGCAGGTGGTGAGGCTCAGTGGTATGGGGGTTTGGGTGCAGGGACTCGGTGGGGTGGATGAGGCTCAGCCAGAGGTTCTGGCTCTGAGAGGGGTCTGGATGCATCAGGGTTGGGCAGACAGGGGAGCAGCTCCCCATACAGTGACCCCTCCCCCTGCAGCTGAGCAGCAATAGGGGCAGGAGAGGTGTGGCACTTCCAGCAGCCAGGAAGGAGGGAGTCACAGTCCTTCCTCCAGTTGCCAGCACACTGGTAGACAGGCAAGCTACACTGTACCTTAGGCTGGAACAGCTTCTTTCTCTGCCGTCAATCATTTCCATGGGACAATATTGAGTGAGGTAGGGCCAGTGGCTCCATCTTCTCCCTACCCTTTTCCCTCCCCCTTGAAGCAATTTGCCTCCTAGAAGAGACATGGAAGTAGCAACCCATGCACTCCTCTGACCAGTGAGAGTACCTGTACTCCACCCAGGGGACAAAAAGTATCCCTATACTCTGCCTCTGTGCAACCATGCAAGGCCAAAATAGACTGTTTAATTCTCCTATTGTGGTTCTAAACTGAATCTGCCTAATGGTCTAAAGTTAAACTTCCTGATGTTGAGAGCTTAAGAGACAGCCTTGGCAGGACTAACCAAACAGATTCTCTTCTTTCTAGGATTCCCTTCCTTCTATGCTTTTGCATAGTTCTTTATCCCTTTTGTTACTCATTATTTCTTCTTTTGTCTTTTCTTCTGCATTCAGACAAGCTCTGATCTCCCACATTGACAAGGAAACTTTATATTACCATAGACCCTAGGATACCTACTCATGGACAAGAACTCCCTTGTACTAGCAGAACAAACATTTCTCTTGAACAAAGGCTACCTGGACTCTTCTTCCTCTCTCAGCGAAGTTTGGGAGAGCGCTATTCACAACTTTCGTTTGTACAACTGATTACTTCTTCCCCTCCTGTCAGCTGCCAACCTAATCAATCATTCTCATGAAACTGTTGTTCTCAACCCCCCTAGTGCTATAGATTTTTCTTTATTCTTTTCAAGCTTGCAGTGGCTAAGTAAGCAGAGTCTTCTCAAGGTCATGTTCATCCCTTGTGTAATGAAATATTAGGAATAGATTTGCCCCTGCCCATTTCTGGCATTACAGCTCAGTTGGGGGAGGGGACCCCCTCCCCCCATAGTACCACGCTTATCTTTCTGTCCATTGCTTCCTGTGTCCTGAGCACAGCAACATGGGAGATCTCTCCTCCAATGCTGCAGCACATCCCCAGAACATAGGTCTGACTGGGGATTAGACCTTGTAGAGTGCATGATAAAGGAGCCATGAAACAGTACAGCAAAAGTCTGATTGGAATTCCTAGTCTTCACTAATGGGGAGGTTTTCAGAAGTGACACACAACAAACTCCCTTCTGTGCTTTTGAAAGTCTCCCCATTTCATTCCCTATCATCTTAAATTTTCCCTCAAAGTAACTTGTTTCATTCTTTAAAATTATTTTTTCTGTTCACATGAAAGAATACCTGTTTCTATTTTACTTTAGAAGATAAATAGGAGCCCAATGTGCAGAAGCCCTTCAAAAGCCCAAGTTCCACATTTAGGTTTTATGCTGTCACTTGCTGCATTCTTATAGATGCTCTGGATAATAATTAAAGTAAGAATCCCCAACAAGTACATAGAAGTTGAATGTAAAAACTCTGACACCAGATGGTGCTATTTTGCTATTTTTAGAAAGCATGTGAAACGTTTAGATATTAAAAGGATAAGTTTTGACCAAAAAAATCTAAACTAGAGAGAAAAGTATCTATGGCATCAAATTATAGGCCAGTTGTGTGACTTCTTTAATGATCATGTATTTGGCATTTTAAGGAAATATGGATTTTTAGAGCATACTGTGGCAGAGCTCCGCCCTTGTCCCTATGAGTCCTGTGCTCCTAGGTGATTTATGCTAGCCTCAGAGGCTCACTGTGACCCTCCATGTAGCCCTTCTCTCTCCAGGGCCAGGGTTACAGTCTACTGAGCCCTTTTCATCATAAGCCAGCAAGGAGGTTAGTGAGAGAGCTCCCACAGTCTCTGTTGTCCCTATGGGCTTATTCCCAAACAGTTTAGCCTCCTATCCTGACGGGGCCTATCTTCCCCTCCCAGGAGGTGTTTCTGTAGTGGCAGGCTGGGGGGAACCCAGGCCCGCCCTCTACCCCAGGTTCCGGCCCAGGGACCCTAATAGTAGCAGCTGTTAGCAGCCAACCTTTCACTGCCAGAGTTGCTACATTTCCCTAGGCCACTTCCCCGCAGCTATCCCACTTCTCTCTTCTTCACCCTTACCTTAGGGCTCCCTTACCAACGGCTTGAGGGTGTCTTCATTAACCAGCCCTTCAGCTGCACTTCCTTTCTTCTGGCTCTCCTCTGCCTGACTGGAGTGAGCCCTTTTATAGTATCAGAGGGCCTTAATTAGAGTCAGGTGGTCACATTTTGTAAGTGTTACCAATAAACTTCTTTTCTGTTTAAAAAAAAAAAAAAAACCAAAGAAAAACAGAAAACTGTTAATCCAGCGGCCAGCGTATCTGCTTTCTACTTCTCTGCTGAACCTTGATGTCTTTGAGGAGCAGTGGGGTTCTCTGCTCGGTGACCCCGTCCGGTTCCCTCCGTCTGACCCTTTGATTGACGGGAAGAGCGAGAGACGCCAGCCCCAGCCGTTGCCGCTGTGGATACCATCATTACTGTCATCTAGGAGAAGTCCTATAATACATGGGTGTCTACCCCCCCCACCCCTAAACCACCCACCCCGCAGCCGTGCCCATCTTGTCGGGCACTCTCAGGAGAGGGAGGATCGGTGACACTGGGCACGGCCCTAGGTAACTCGAGGGGGTGGAAGACCATGAATGTCGAGGAAGCCCCCCCGCTCTGGGCCCAGGCTAGCCTGAACACTTCTCCCTCCTGAAAGCTGCTGTGTTATACCTTCTGTTTGCTCTTGTTTTGTTGCATAGTTTTGTTTTATCCTCTTTGGTGATTCTTTGTAAGTGTTACACAAATAAAATTCTTTTCTGCTTAAAAAAAAAACAAAAAACAAAAAACACACACTTCTCTGCTGAACCTTGATGCCTTTGAGGAGCAGTGGGCGCTGTCCGGGGTTCTCTGCTCAGTGTCCCCGTCCGGTTCCCTTCGTTTGACCCTTTAATGAACAACAGGGACAGGAGTGCAGTCAGTTGTCCCCCGTAATTATTTGGTTTTCCAGGTCTTGTGGACCCCCCCTTAGGCTGGGGGGAATCCTTTAGTAGTGGGCAGGCTTTGCCCACCCACTTCCTGGATCCCAATAGGACTCCTCTGCTGAACCCAACTGGCCTGGGTCTATCACAATACATAATATGAAAAATAAAAGTCTTAACCTTTTGCAAATAATCCTGATTAACTCATGTTGAAAAGAGTTATATAAAATGCTTAATCCACAAAAATACTACATTTGCTTCTAAGAGTGGTTTAAACCCACAAAAGTGGAATTTAAGTTAAAACCAGCTGATACACAGTCTATAAAGTGGATGGGGGGGAGAAGAGAGAATTAAGGGCAGAATATCTGGATTATTGGCCATAAATTCTCATTTCCTTTTTGTTATGTAAGCATAGGAGAGAATTGTTGTTCCATCTCTCCATTTCTTCTGAGATTTGGGGCATATTCAGTATTTCTGGCCCCAAGCATTAAAAATTCCTAAGTCAGCCCCCCGCACCCTAAAGTCACAAGACTGCCTTAAAGGGAAATTGGGCTGTATAGTTTGGATGTCCTCCACCTCAGTAGAAGGAGAGCCAATCTCCAGGACAGGCTGGCTAGAACAGTCAGGAGAGGGTTAAACTGATAGCAAACAGGAAAAGGAAAAATACTCATAGCACAAAAGAAAGATGTTGAGAACAAAAAAATAAATCAAGAAACCAAAGGAAGAAATTCTTGAATTGCCTATACACCGGGGTGGCCAGCCTGTGGCTCTTCAGAAGTTAATATGCAGCTTCTTGTATAGGCACCGACTCTGGGGCTGGAGCTACAGGCACCAACTTTGCAATGTGCTGGAGGGTGCTCACTGCTCAACCCCTGGCTCTGCCACAGGCCCTGCCCTCACTCCACCCCTTCCTGCCCCCTCCCCTGAGCATGTAGTGCCCTCACTCCTCCCCCCTCCACTCCCCAAGCCTCCTGAATGCCACAAAACAGCTGATTGGGTAGTGCGGGAAGCTGCTGACATATTACTGTGGCTCTTTGACAATGTACATTGGTAAAGTCTGGCTCCTTCTCAGGTTCAGGCTGGCCACCCCTGCTATACACCAATGCTAAGAGCTTGGGTAACAAACAAGAGGAATTGGAATTGCTCATTTATGAGCATAAATTTGATCAAGTTAGTATTATTGAAGCCTGGTGGGATGATTTGCATGACTGGAACATTAAAAATCAATAGTTATCTATGTAAGCAGTGTCAGGATGAGCTCCACCCTGACATCTGGTGGTGAGGTGTGGCAAGTTGTGGAAAAGAACTTCAGGGGCTGATCTCATTTGCATAGGCACACCCACCCCACCTAGAATGAGGCCATAGCTGCCCAAATGGTCACTTTGGCTGCTGTGGGATCCCCAGTGTCTGTTATTGGGGCAGGAAGAATAAATTGTTATTACCCTGATTATGGGAACTGTGCTTGGAACTGTACTTGGCCTTTTGTTATGATGGAGGGACTCAACGTCAACTAAGTAGCACTCACTAGGCAAGGGTCATGGGTTCCAAAACTCTGTGAATTGAAAGAGGCTAAGGACAAGTATTAATACTTGGTGGCATGGGCCCCTTGGTGAGGGCCTTACATGTTAATTGCACTTCCTCCTCTCTCCACTGTGGAATATCAGAGCTAATTTTGATTCTATTAGGAGTCTAGTTACAGGCTGCTGAGCTCACTTTGGGCTAATGGTGCACCAGCACTGAGGCTCCCCTACTACAAGATGAATTCACCTAAGAGCTGAAATCACTGAGCGTTGTTAAAGTAGTGGGGGAGCCTGAAGATACATTGTGGAGCAGTTTGTGGGACGGCTGGAGTGCCTTGTGGACAGGCTGGTGGAGCAGTTCATAGGACAGCAGGAGCTGCTTGTGGGCCGCAGAGCAGAGCCAAGCGAAGCAGTTCATGGGGCAGTTGGTGGAGCGGAGCGAAGGCCTATGGAGCTGTGGGGCGGTCAGCTTCAGATCATGTAAGCTGCCCCTTACCTCTCTTCCCTCCCCCCCACCCCCCAATCTCCACCCAGGTTGGGAGGTAAAACTCTGCAGATAAACTTTCGAAGTCTGGGGCTGCCCTGACCAGGGACAGAGACTTTTGGGACTTTGGGTGATTTGGGGTTGCTGGACTTAAGAACTAAAGGAAAAGGGCATGCCCCAATTTGCTTGGGGTGGGGTTTTTGCTCATGGGTTGTGTTATGAATCCTGTTGGTGGTGTTTCCCTAACATAATGCCACATTGTTTCTCTCTGTTATTAAGAGGCTTTTTGCTACACTCAGACTATGTGCTTGCAAGAGGGGAAGTATTGCCTCTTGGAGGCGCCCAGCGGGGGTGGTATATATTTGTTTCAGGTCACTGGGTGGGGGCTCGAGCTGGTTTGCATTGTGTTATTGGAATGGATCCCCTAGATATCGAACCCAGCCCTTGTTGCTGCCAACTCTAACGGGCAGAAGGGTTACATCTATTTAGGAAGGATTGAGTTGGTGGGGGGAGGGGGATGGGCATTCTGTCAAAAACCTGTTTCTAAATCACTGATAATTTGGGGAGAAAAAGTGAACTTGAATGTTTATGGATCAATATCCTAAACAGATAAATCACAAGATGGGATATTAGTTGGCATCTGCTACAGACCAAATTTCACTAGTCAACTGGATGACCTCTTCCTTATGCACCTATCTATAAGATTGGGGGGGAAGGGGGATACAATGTGATCACAGAAGGACTTCAAATTTGAGTGACATATGCTGGAGGTCTCATACTGCCAGGACTAAAGTATCATAATTTCTAAACATTATAGATGAAATTTCTTAACTCAAAGTGTGTTGCACCCAACATGCGGGGGGGGGCGGCAATTCTTTATTCGATCTTATTCTAAAAAGAGAAATGACCACAGAAATAAAAAAATATAATGGTAGCTTAGGTACAAATGATCATGACTTGATCACATAACATGCAAGAATAATAAAGTCCAGACTAGTAAAATATATGCTTGGTGCTTTAATAGGTCCAGTTTCACAAAGCTGGAAACAATTACAAGAATTTAATCAGAAAAATGTGAATGATAACTGTGAATCATTTAAGAACATTACTACATACCCCAAAAGCCACAACTGCGCAAGGGGGGGGGGGAAGGAGATGCCATGTTGGTTAAAAAAAATGCACTGGTTTAGAGGGGAAGTGACAGCAGCTATAAAATATAACAAATGGAAGAAAGGGGAAGTTGATAGTAACGAATATAAATCAGAAGATAAGAATTGTAGAAAGTTGATAAGGGAAGCAAAGAGAAATTATGGTCAGTGGAGTAAAAAGACAATAAAGAGGGTTTTTAAAATATTATATATTAGCAACAACAAAAAAAAGTCCTGACAATGGTTTTGGTCTGTTACTAGATGGAAATGGTAGAATTATCAATAATTCAGAAAAGGCACAAGTGTTCAATAAATTTCTTTTCTGTATTTGGGGAAAACAGATGATGCAATCTCATAATAGGGTGATAACTCTTTCTATTCCACTAGTATCTCTGGAGGAGGTTTAATAGAAGCTACTAAAGTTAGACATTTTTAAATCAGCAAGTCCAGATGACTGAGGGGCTCAATGGACCATTAATGTCAATTTTCAATATGTCTTGGATCGATGAGGAAGTTCCAGAAGACTGGAAGAAAGTGTACATTTGCCAGTTTTTTTAAAAGGGTAAACAGATGACTTAGGTAATTATAAGCTTGTCAGCCTGACATTGATCCCAAGCAAGATAATGGAGCAGCTGATATAGGACTTGATTAATAAAAAAATGATTATGTAATTGATTAAATCAATATGGGTTTATCGAAACTAGATCCTGTCAAACTAACTTTTTTTTAAGGAGATTACAAGTTTGGTAGATAGGGAAACCCAAACATTCTGGCATAATGTACTTAGAATTCAGTACAGCTTTTAACTTATTACTAAAGGACATTGATTAAAAACTAGAATATAAATAATGTGACACTAAATGGATTAAAAAAACTGTCTAACTGATGGATCTTGAAATATAATTGTGAACAGGGAACAGTCAAGCAGTTCTGTTTCCAGTGCAGTCCTGCAGGGACTGTTTCTCAGCCCTGCGCTAGTTAACATTTTTACCAATGACCTAGGAGAAAACATAAAATCATCATTGGTAAAGTTTGCACTACTACAAGTTCACCGTCCCAGGCTCTATAGTTGGAGGGAAGAGATCCCAAATGGTCTCTCATCCTGGGACAATCCTTGAAGATGGGGAAGGAGCATC